CAGCAGCAGTAGTAGTAGCAGCAGCGCTAGCAGCAGGATTACCGGCAGCAGCAGAATTCGACGGCAGTCGTAAGAGTAGGATGAGGAAGCATACATAAACATACATGGAGAGAGGCCATGTCTGCATGCGCGCTTCCCTCAATGTCTATTCCAAGCAAGTGCCTAGTCTAGTTTCTTAGTCTTTTAACCCCAGCCAGTGGGTCCTCAGAGGCTGCCTACGTTGCAAGCCTGTGTCTTCCGAACTGTCGCTTCCTCATCAGGCCGCTTAGGACACAGTGCTCTGCCCCTGCATTTGGTCGAACCAAAACTGATTCAGGGGCTGCGGTTGCTTTCGAGTCTAAACAGGTTGCAATGCAGTTCTTCCTCGCCCTTTGCGTAGCTAAGCTAGCAGTCTAGTCTTTCTAGCAGTGCAAAAGCCTTGTAGCTAGCAAAACGCCGGCAACATTCTTAGACATCGACAAATGTTGACACCCGTTCTGAGCATTCTGAGCTAGTTTGCCCCGCCGAAATCTACCCTATGTGTTCCTGCTAACCATATGGCGCAGATGGTGAAAGGTGTATGGATCCGTTCCGACCGTCTGATCCTAGACACCTGAGCCCGTTGCCTTTAGGAACTTCGACAATTCTCAGGTGGCCAGTTGCATGCGAAGAGCCTTGGAGCTAGATCCAAGCCGAGCAGATGCGTGGCGCATCGTCGGCAAAGAGCATCCTTCCTGAAAGTCCCAGCCATGGCCTCATGCACTTAACATCAGCATTGCAAGCGCGAGCTTTGGCAGCAAGGCTGTTCTTGGCTGAGTGCGACTACCGCCGCGGCGACTTCGAAGGCATCGCTGCCTGAAATTGAAAGTTCGTGGCTGGGCACCAGCACAGGACGTTGCAGGATTTGGTTTACGAGCTGTGATATGAGATGCCCCGTGGCCAATGGTCATGCGAGTTTTTGCAGAGGTCAGAAACGCGGGCTTCAGCTCGAAGCGGCAGCTTCCTCGAGCACCATCGACACTTCACAGCCCCAGTCAAAAAAAACAAAACCACTCAGGCAAGACCAGGGCTGAAGACGAAATTCCAAGAATGGATGCTCGAAGCAAAGCTCAGCAAGTATCGCAGTTGAGAGCAACGCCAGCCTGGTTTCCCCGGTCCTTGCTAGATTCCTTGCAAATCCTGTGCGATGTGCTTCGGGCAAGTCGTTGCCTTGTTTGCACCATCACTGACTTCAACGTGTCGAGATTTGCCTTCCGCCGCGATCGTGCCTGCTCCAAGCAATGCTCCAGCATGCTAAATTTAAGCACAGCGGCCAGGTATCCGTGCAAGCACAGCATAACTTTGACTAGAGTTCTCCTCTCTTTGTAGAGTCACACCATGTTGAGAGCATTCCTCAAGTTGCCCGGGGCCTTGCCTGCGAAGCACCGCTGCTACTTTGCTGCAGTGGCTGGGGCTGGCTTCGCCGGGGCAACTTTCAGTGTTCAGTGTCACGAACAGTGCCACGAACAAGTCCCCAGCAAGTGCGCCAATGAGGGAAGCATCAAGCTGAAGAACGGCCGGTCGATTTTCTACAAATGCTGTGGAGAAGGCGTGCCAGTGTTTGCCTTTCATGGTATGGGAAGTGCACACACAACTTGGGACCAAGAGAAGCCCGAACCTGGAATTCGGCTGATTGCGGTTGACCGTCCCGGCTATGGTTCCTCCTCGCCTCCTCCTGCCGGATACAGCTACAGGCAGTTTGTGTCCGACCTTACTGAAACCGCTGACCAATTGGGCTTGGATCGTTTCTGTGTGGCCGGCCATTCGTCCGGGGGTCCGTATGCTCTTGCAGCTGCAGCTTTGCTACCACAGAGAGTGGTTGCTTGCGCGGCCATTTCGTCAGACCCGCCCTACTATCACCCCAAAGTTCCTGAAGCCGTGCGTCAGGCTGATGTGTCAGCTCAGCCAGTGTTTGGCTTGGTTGAAGAACGGCTGGCCAAGTTGGGCATAGAGATCAAGAAGCCCGTGGCTCCTGTGGCCAATTACGTCCCATGGCGCAAGACCGGAAACGTGGTCTACATCTCAGGCCAGATACCAAAGGATGGAGATTTCATCCACAAAGGGCAAGTTGGAGGTAATGTGAGTGTGGAGGCAGCGGCTGAAGCTGCAAGGTTGTGTGGCCTGAATCTCGTGGCACAAATGCGAGAAGCCTGCAACGGCAATTTGGATCGAGTAACCAAAATTCTGCAAGTCCAGGGATTCGTAGCATCTACACCAGACTTCTCTGGCCATCCTCAAGTCATCAATGGAGTGTCAGATTTGCTGGTGGAGGTTTTCGGCAAGGAGGTGGGTGCCCACAGTCGCTTTGCGGTCGGCTGCAGTTCCCTTCCGCTGGGAGTCTCAGTTGAAGTTGGCGCAGTGATTGAGATCGATGAGAATGCTCCGATGCCAACACCATTAGGGTTCTACGGAGTGGATCCTGTAATCAAGGGACAGTACATGGCAGCTGGTGCAGGTGAGAAGCGGCAATACAACTGGAAGCAGGGACCCTTAGGTTTCGTCACCGACTACGCCCTTGAAAGGTTGCCCTGGTCCTTCAAGCTGGAAGAGATTAGCCAAGGAGAACGGCTTACCATCTGGGTTGGTGAGAAGGATATACCCGTGATCTTGCATGGTGCTCCATTTTTGCAGTCACTTATTCCAGGCTCCAAACTTCAAGTTGTGCCGAATGGTGACCACTCCTTCAAGCGATACCCGGAGCACCTCTCCGCCATACTGCAAGAACTCAAAGTCCATTGGGACAAGCAATGTCTCTGACTCCCCCGAGTCTGTCAGGGTAATTGTAACCAAGACCTGCGCGGCATGCTGGTCGCATCAGTGGCACAGGATATCGAAAGTTGCACTGTGCCGAACAGAAAAGTCTGCCCCTCCCATGCGGGTAACGTGATGTGAATATGTTCAAGCCTGGACTGCAGCAGGTGCCTTCCGTGCCTTCGACGAGGTTTGCCATTTAGACCCAGGCGGCCCAGCAGCACAGCAGGCACAGCCCCAGTTGCGCTTGGAGTGTTTGCTTCACCAGGGAGTGGTTCGGGATCGGTGTTAGACCGTTGGACCTCGATTTGCCGCTGAGTTCCTGACAGAGTATTGTATGCAGGACTCTCGATCCTTCATGCTTTAGGCACTGCCTGTGCCGCAGGCCATGGCTGACCAAGCCCTTCTTCGGCGAAACCTCCGTTGCGTGTTCGTCCACCGGAGCTTTGGCCTCGTGTTCGTTGTAACCCTGCAGCGTGAGAGCATGCACGTTGATTTCCCTGGGGCCCAGGAGTCTTTCAAAGGGCTTCAAGTTTGTTCAAGTTTGGACTTGCTGTTGGTCTGACTAGCCTGCAGACTGCCACTGGCCGGGGCACTGCATGGTGTCCGTGGCAGTCGCCGCGGTTCGGCCACATGAACAGCAGCTGTTGACTGCTCCTATAACATTATGCTTTGCTGCATTTCAGGCCCGGAGACAGCGAGCTATAATTCTATGAATCTCCGGCCCGTAACCTGTATGGGCCTATTCCCGGATCCGAAGCCAAATTGAGGAATGTCTGGCAGCCGGAGACGGCGCAAGCCCTCCTCAATTTCTCAGGAGGCTGACCTCTTGCACCAAGTTCAGCAGCGACGCCATGACCCAGTGCATCCAGCCAGTTCACACATCAGTTTGGACTAAGTTTCAAGTCCAATCTGCAGTCCCCTCCATGACCCACCCAAGGCCCAAACCGACAAGACCGACCCGCACTGCGACGGAGTAGCAGAATACAAAGGAATGTAATGCAAGTTAGTACAACAAAATGTAAACTCTGTGTTATACTAGTTTCCGCAAAAAGCCGCATACCAGGCAGTATGTTTTATTCGTTGGAAGATATGAAACTATATTGTATTAGTTCATGCTACATTATATTATGTAATGGAACAAAACATATCGTGATATTTCATATCATAGAACCATGCATTATATGCTGTACGAGGTTGTGCTGTAATGAATTGCAATGTATTGCATGGTTAATCTTATTACGTGATGTCATATGATATAGTGTTCTGTTTTGTTTTATCGTAAATCAAGTTACATGTTTATGAGTGATTGTGCTCCCCCGAAGGTCCAGATGCTAGAGGAGCCTCGCCTGCGGTCCGCTTGTGGGATGCCGCCTTGCCGGAGGCCGCTTGAGTAATGGAGCGGCAAGGTGTCACATTGCCATCAAAGCACATAAAACCCTGAATTCAGAGCCCGTGGAGCATCTGGCATGGGTGACATGCACTGGGTATTCCACAACATCGCAGTCAATAATTTTATTGTTTGATTCCCATGCCCTCCTTTTCTCAGCATTGTGCAGCACGTCAACTTGTTCAGGAGCTTTTCGGGCTGGTCAGAGAGAGTGTGGGAGCCTTAGCTGAAGGGAGCTTCGTGCTCGCTGGCTTTCAGACACGTTTGATGGCCGGTCCAATCAGGGGGTAGTAATCACAAGTCGACAGTGAGAGTGATTATCAGCACAATTTCTGTAGATGCTTATCATCTTGCATCTCACCGCAGGGTATGGAGCTGCCCTGCATTATTTGCTCAAGTGACCTGCAGGGAAGTGCGAGCTTGTCCAGATGGGGTGCCCTGTTCTCCTCCCTTCCCATCCACCTTATTCGCAGATCCTCAAGGTGGACGACCTTTGTGTCTGGAGGACAAAGAGCCCGGCAAAAATGAACACGTGCCATGGAGGCAATCATGCACAACCATCAGTAGGTAGTGGGCAATGTTGAGTAAGATGCAGGAAGCCATCGAGGGCTGGTGAAAGAGGTTAACTTCGTCGTGCACCTGGATGTGAGATTCTTCCACTATTCGTTGGCCACGAAGGAGGATGGGGCTAGGATGGAACAAGAAGGGTAAATGCTGGCAAAACCACCAGACCACCAGCCTGCACGCAGTTGATACTCCTGCCACACCAAGCGTGGACTTAAGCAGCAAAGTGGAGTTGGCTTGAAGAGGCTGGAATCACTTCAGAGGGCAGCACTGCCCCATCATGACTCCTCCATATTGGATCGAAGCGTAGAGCATAATTCGGGGGAAGCTCGAAGTCTTGGACCTCTTATCATGCAGATGACATCTCACACAGTGGAATACATGGCACGGTCTGGCAGCCGACTTTGGGAGGGGTTGCTCTAGCTGGCCCTCCAATTTTCCAATATCTGTTAAACTTTGTGTTTTGGAGATTCAAGTCAGTCCGAAGGAAGGTGCAATCCGCAGCCAAGGTTCTGGTTGGATCGGAGCGCAGAGCCGAGGATTTGAAACTCTTCTTGTATCCTCCGGCCCTGTATAGTATTCTACCATGACGCTGCAGGTTAGCACATCTTTCAGTTTAACATGTTGAGGGCCTTGCGGGATTGTGAAAGTATGTTTTGGTGTTCAAGTTGCAGGACGGCTACAGAGCTGGCAGGGAGAGCGCTGCTGAGGCTGCTGGGCCAGGACGCCATATCCTGTAACATGCACGAGCTGACTGCAACGGCGTAGAGTTGTAGATTCGGACATAATTCACTACTCTTAATTGGTCGGGCCTATGACGTCCTGGTTGAAATGCCAAAAAGGAACAATCAAGTTTCGCTCCAGGACCACAAGCAATATCGAGGTATCGAGTGGTGGTGTCGCAACCAGGCGGCGCAGATGGGCGCTCATTTCCACTACGATACGGCTATCTCAGCTACTTCTCAGCATGCAGCTGACAACTGGATTCCTTTCAAGTTTGCCGATGACGAGGTCGTAGCCGAACCGAATGTGAAATCGATGATCTCAAATACACGGCAGCGCAGATATTCTAAGGGCTGTGAAGGAGCGGCGGTCTCGCCAGAGTCCCTTCGCCCAACGCTGTCCAGCGTGCTCTATCTCGGGGATGTGGGTGGCCCCACGATGATCCTCAACCAGGTCGGAAGAACTCGGGACTTCATAGTGCTCGTGGGACTTGGGTGTCAGGTGCCACCTTATTTCTTGCATTGCAGCCGAAGCCACGATGCGAAGGGAGCACGCCTTGGCTGTATCCGCCAGGTGGCCACTTCGCAAGCCAAGCTTTTTCCGCCAATGCCGGACAGGGGTTGGACAGTCGCGACACGACGGAGCCTTGGCTCAAATTGAGGTTCGAATCAGCAGGTCTCTGGGGAGGTAAACTCGTGACTTGTGTACCCCACTAGAACGACACCAGCGGGAGGTCAGATCGGTTCCGAACTACCCCATCATTGACAGCGTTGCCCCACTTTCCGAGATAGCGTGCTCCATCTTGTAGGTGCTGCATGTATAATAATTAGTGCGACTCGACCGTTTTCATGAAAGGGCCGCTGCTGCTAGCACGAAAGTGCACAGATGTACGAACCCGCAGCGAAGAGTGACTGCCTGCATCAGAACTGCATACCCCAGTGCTACATCCTCCATCGGTCCATAAGCCTGAAAGCCCAAAGGCCCAGCGCTCAGCTTCCAGTGATACGACGCAACAACACCAGCTACGGCACCCCCAGGAACAGATGGTTGGTCTTCCCTGGTAATCTTTTCCACGGCGCGGTGTCCTTTGGTGCCAACGAGGCACTCGTGTGGTCCTTGTGAGTGCGCTAAGGATTTTTTCCAAGTGTGATTCCCAGTCATGGAGCTCTTGCTATTAAAATGATGCAGAAGACAAAGAACATATGACCTGAAGCTCGCTCCGGCACTGAATCAGCTTGAATGCTACAGCACCAGACGCAAGGCCCAGCCGACTGCACCTCGCTTTGTCATTTTGTGCCACGGCGTGTTTGGGCAGCCTGGGAAAACATCCGTCACGCTTCTGCTCCTCATGTTTGAGGAGTTGAACTCCTCGGAGTGCATTGGCATACCGTAAGAGGTTGCACTAAGAACGAGCCTTATGCTTCCTTACGGCATGCTTCGTGTTAAGACCGGGCTCGGAGAGCATGTTGCACCTGAGCACTGACAGCACCTTCCGAGTTTAAAGGCATATTGTCCCTATGGTGTGTAGTCAACTCACAAGATACGGTATCGTGAGATAGTGTGCGAGAATTCAATCCTTTTTCTTGTGGTTCCGAGCTCCTGGAGCTCGGGGGATCTATCTGCTGACTCCTGAGCACTGAGGTTTAACTTTTGGCATCTTGGCCGCATCTGCATGGGCCTGGGGATGATGATCAAAACCTTGCAAGCCGTTGAAGCAAAGCATGTTCGAGGAATCGACTCTCAAGATGCCACGACACATAGAACTGAAACCCATTATGGAAGAATCCTGTCATTCCACAGCTGGGCTACAAGGGCGGAACACCGCCCGGCGGCGCCGTCATGCCAAGCCCCTAACTTCCAGGACCCGCGCTGCGTGGTCAAAGGGCAGCTGTGAAGGGAGGTGAACGGGAAGGCAACGACTAAGATTTCCACTTCTTGACACCTGTTCAATCTATACGCAACTCTTTGCAGGACTACATGCCTGTTTGCAGCGTTTCACCGACCGCACGCCACCTGCTGCCGGACAATCGGATCGAGGAGCTGCAGAGACTCGTCCAGGCCTGTTTGGGTGTTTACATTCCGACCATTCGGGGCCGAATGGCAGGATGAGCTAAGACCTAGTCTAATGTGCAAACTGACGAAAGAGACAGCGCCCTCGTCTCATTGTCTGAAGAAAGCTACTCTCAGTCGTGATTCGTGTTGATTAGGGCGATGTCTTTGCTCAGCTTCTCAGAAACAGTGACCTCCCGATGCCATCACTGCGCAAAGGAAGCGCCAACTGCCACCGCAGACCATCAACAGATGTTCATGCCTTGCATCAAGGGGAGCGGCGGTTTCGGACCGCCCCCCAAAGCTTATACGGCGGCTTCAGGGGATCTCCAGCGCGCAATCGAAGTCCTCTACTTTGTGGAACGCTGCTCTTCAAGGCACGCTTGCAGCCACGTGAATGGCTCAATTGTCTGGAAGGTGCAGAGGAATGCGACAGAGCTTCATCCATCGGAGCTTTGTAGTGCCAAGGACTGAAGATTTGTGCTGCTGGCATGCACGTATGCCATGTTTCTATGAAACAAGATTTGAAGCATCGGTTGGTGTGTCCAGAGTCCGACCGGCTGGATGGGGCGAGTGCATGTGGATCTCTGCATGATTCTGACATCTCCTGCCCGTGAGGATATGCCCCGATCGGTTATCGTGGAAGATTTTCCTTTTGGTTTGCCACTGCCCGTCAGCGAGGCAAGAAGGGGAGAGTGGAAGACTTGTCTTGATGAAACGGTTCTCCTGCACGTGCACACCACCGACCAAACAAACGGAAGCCTCGATGGACTCGTAACACCCACAAACAGAGAACCAATTGCTG